CAAATTCCACACTACAACCATCAGAGAGATGAAACTGTACTACTCAAGCCGACCATGACACATCAACTCAATTTTGTTTTCAAACAGCCGGTGTATAGTTCGTCCCAGAATGCCGAGTTTTTGGCAGATGCTTCTCAGCACTTCTCGCACACGACTTTCCTCTCCTTCTCTCAACCCGGTTGACATCTCAGCACTTCCCTCGTGTCCACTGACGTCCAAGCACGAAGCCACAAGGCCGGCGAGTACGAGGGTACCTTGAGCTTTGCCCTTGACGGCAGGCCGACGTCCGACCATCTGACCGTGACGACGAGTTCTCCCTTCCGTCATGTCGCCGGAATCATGACCTGCGAATTCCAAAGGAAATCTGACAAAAACAAACATGTTGGAGGTCCCAGAATGAGTTCACTTAGTCCCTGAAGAGGTCACTTACAGACTCCAAAGAGGTCACTTTGAAGGTCCTGGTTGGTGACTTTGGAAGGGTTTTTCGTTTGGGGGGGACCCTCCCAGGGTCACAGCGAATCCAGTGAATCTTCCGAAGGGGTTTGAAGATGGGATAGCAAGGAACTTCTATCGGATAGATCACGGACGTCCGTGAGGGAGAAGTCCTTGCATGTCACAGCAAGTGGAACGTGGCCAAGTGACATAGATGGATCATGATGAATACCTGGTTTTCTGCTGCCAGATGTCCATGGAAAGGATGTATAGACCATGCAGGCAAAAAGGATCGGAGGAGTCTCATCTTTCGATTCGCCTTGGGCCGGTCAGGGTGCGGTCTTCGACCTTCGTGCTGCACTATGGAGAGGCGAGTATGTTTGGTCCCTACCCTTTGTGAGGCATGGTTCTTTCTCATTGTAGTCGGAGGGCATCCTCTCTTGTTTCGAATTGAACTCACTTATAGCTGCTGCATACCATCCTGAACCTTTTTGCCAGTCTTTTGCCAGTCGTGATGTCAACTCGCCGCATGGCCAGTTCCATTTGTTCGCTTCTGCGGCCGTGTGTCACGTGAGATGTTGATTGATTCTGCGTTGCCGTGAATCCTGTTAAGCCTGTTGATTCGCTGCATCCGATCTGATGACACGTAGTGCAGAAGATCTCCCCAAACTCGGCCAAGGCATCGGTCGCAGAACCTCGGGCCTTGGACTTTGGGCCGACTCCATGACTTTGGGCCGCTCCACTCCGGTCTGTTCGCCCATGAGAGACCTCAGCCGGTCGCGGCAGGGGGGATACACGCCCATCACCTTGCAGTTTGACCCCTTCGCACTCACCAAGCTGCAGAAGGCGCGGTTGGTGCCGCGGGTGCGGAACTGGAGCTGTGGGTGGCTGTGGGATCAACCGGAGGGAGTGAAGCTTGGCGTGGTGAAGAAGTTGGGGTGATGGGATGGTGATGGGTAGAATGAGTTGCTGTTGTTCTTCTTCTCTGGGTTTCTTGATGGAATCTGTGGTGTTTCTCTTCCTTGCTAGTCGATGGTGATGTGGTGATTTGGTGCCCTGCACGCCCATGGGCTGAACCACCTTTGAGATGAGTTGGGATCATTTCATCAGCTTTCATCCTTCACCCAAAGCCTGTCGTTTCTCTCATGCAGAGCCGTGGAGAGCTGCTGGAATGTACAGCTATAGAGGTTGCTAGATGTTTGTGAGTCGTAAGAAGTTGAGAAAACGACATGAGGTGAGGTGGCTTGATCAACCAAGAGCTTCAAGAGCTCAATAAATGTAACCACCAGGCGTTTTCAATTGGGTGGGTGTTAATTACCTAGAAAGTCAGTGATTATGGGCAGTGTGGGGATACGGACCCATCCCCCCGAGCCACCCAAGCACGGAACTCCTGGTATTCCATCCATGTCACCTGCTCTCTCATCGCTCACAATGTGTGTAGCGATTGGTTGATCATGCGTCTCATATGGGGTCATTGCTTTTTATGAGTGTCCAGCATTGCTTGCTGAAAACCGAGACACCTCGCGTGTGGTCGAGTAAGTGTCACGCGCCGAGGATGTGTCTCGCTTTGTGGGTGGTTACTTGGCGAAGGAATGGGAGGCACCAATGCGACGGAGTTCTGTCCAGTCGATGGGTGTGACAATGAGACAGCATCACGTCACGTGACAGCGCTGGGGCTTGGGTATGCTGATGAAAACCAGGTGCAGGTAAAGGTTCACACTGGCAAATTGTGTTATTCAATCTGGTATAAGCAATTCTACTTATTCGAGTTAGCACTCTGTCTTTTGATATGATCTTTTCAGCCACTCTGATGGAAAATTGATTAAGTTCCCCCCGCAGGGCAAGTTGCTGTCAATTTGCTCATAAATCATCATAAATTCAACTCCACATTCTCATGTATCCTCATGTACCCATGTTTTTTTTCAAGCCCCCGGTATCCTCTATGTGTATCCGCTCATCGGCCTTTGTCATTTGCGATCCGTGCGACGATCCTTCAACACCTAACAGCCAGACAGCCTGCCGGCAACATGGGACGGCAACCCATTGGTCCAGTCGATGTCGTGACCGGGGAACCCCCCGGTCACGGACGGGGTCTCACATGTCTGGCGACCTGATGGGTGAACCACGGTGAACTGGTTCGTCGGTTCGTTGGAAGGGTGGATTGATAGACGCTGATCTCTCAGTACTCGGTGACCCCCCTGCAAACATTAGAAGCTGTGAATTCATGGACCTCATTTCGACCCTTTTCATACGTCACCCGGTGCTTTTCCTGAGAAGTTCCGAACATGGTCCGTTCGTAGCACGGGTGGAACCGTATGGGCCATGTGCTCCGATCCCCACCACGACCTCATGCACTCCGAACACGCGCCAGGTCAATGGCCCCGATCGGAAGAAGCGCTACGAGAAGACCTCGGTGCGGACGACTCGACGGAGCCGGACGACTGGACGACGCGACGTCGGTGAGAGCAGTTGAAGCAGGTTGGGTAGGTCCTTTTGAAGCAGTTTGGGTTGAAGCAGTTGAAGCATGTTGAAACAGGGTCCGAAGCGTTTGAACCAGCTCTGGAGATGACCGATCTCCTTTACGCACGCCTCGTCGCCGAGTCGTGCGAAGCAGTTTGTTTTCCGGGTGAAACTGGAGCGTACCAGCCATGCAAAGAGTTTGTGGCTTTCTGAACAAAACAGGTTTCACTTGGGTTCTAGGGTGTTTGTTTTGATTTGTATAGTCTATTTGTTTATGACATTTAAGGGGCATCCAATTCTAAGGGTCACTACAAAAAGTGTAAGCAGAACCATGGGATCACATTGAATAAGTAACCATCTCCACATGATTTGATACATATATCCATTTCGAGTATGGGGGGTGCAGGGTGGATGCGGTTCTATTCAGGGCGGTGGATGCTGATGGGTCATCAGCACTGCAAGTGGTGAGCAAATTACACTCCCTGAATGTCTGAGAGTAGCATCTCACTTGACAAGCTTGGGAGCATGAGCAACTTGGAGCTATTGTTGTTGCAGAAGTAGTAGTAGTAGTAGTAGTAGTTGTTGTTGTTGTTGTTGTTGTTGTGGGAAGATAGGCACTTGGGCAGTTCATTGCTGCCAGGAACTGGCGAATCTTGCTCATCAGGTAGATCAAGAACCAGAGGTGTTTACCTTGTGTAGAGTGTTCATCTTTGGGACACTCCATTGGAGCGCGTGAGTTCTCAATCAATACAACCAAGTACCCTGAGTGGTATCCGCCAAGCAGTCCAGACCGGCCTCGGCAGGCTCGAGCATTGGTCGCAGATGTTCATCAGCAGGAGTTGCACAAACGGCCTGTGCATGTTTGTTGAATGCTGGGCAACAGCAAAGGTGGGGTAGTCAGACTGAGCTGGCTATATAATGTCACATAAGCTGAAGATCGGATATATCCAGGTATAAATCAGCTATATAAGTTGCTTTTGCCAACACTTTTCTTGGTCCCACACATCCTCCACCTCTGACGTTCTGCGAGGAAAACCTTAATGACTGTGGTGTGTTTGTCTTGGAGAACATGCTTCGGCCTGGAACTCGGCCCTGGAACGACTCCCCCGCGATTCCGCAAACCGGGACCCCCCACCTCCGAAGGGCCCTTTTTTAAGAGGTCCAAGGTATTGGACTTACCTGGGGGGTCGTTTTCACGGTTTCTGTTCTGTTTTCCGCCGATGAGCGTTCTGAAGAAAAGACTTGCTTTCCGTGTCAGCTCCTTTTGGAGTTTAACAGATGTTTGTTTCTGAATTCTGTTGGAAGTTCAACGGTTCTGTGTTCTTTTTGTCAGAACTGCGGTTCTTGTTTTCCTCTTGAATTGCTTTTGAATGCGACTGCTTGCCTTTTGAAACTCCCTTCAACCTCACCGCCTGTAGTATATGTATCGTATTTATTGTCCTTTGGAGGGATAAAAAGAAGGCATTTCATCTCGGAATCCATCAACTCTGAAGGCGCGCGTTACAGAAACCCGCGTCAAAACCACGACCTGTCGATGAAGAACGACAGCACCGCACCATCTCCCCAGGTCGCTGTCGATGAAGAAGGATTTCCTGAAGCAGATGTCCTCCGCCACACCACGGGTTCCCTGGGTGGAGGAACGTAACGGGTGGAGGAACCGGATGTCCATCCGCCCCCGTTCCGGAAGGGTGAAGCAAGATCAGCACAACGCAGGGCGAAGCAGTCCTAGACGTCGCAGAGTTTTGGTAGGGCAGCTGACCCTGCCAGTCACAGAGGAGTGGAGCTGCACTTTTGGAGCTGATGGACAGAAACCTCCACGGATTTGCTGCCGCTTTTGGCTCGCCCGCAGCGTTTTCGTGCTGGGAGATCCTGTAAGGGATTTTCACCTGGCAATGAAATGGTTGGCATATGAGACAGCTGAAAAGTCAAACAAAATCAAGAGGACGGTAGATGCATGTTGCTTCTCTATGTATACTGTATACTTCTTTAAGAAGTGCTTGAAATACATATCCATGGTATATTATCCATGTTCCTTGGAGGTCGGTGTGGGAAGACCAATCTGCAGACGTGACATGACGTGACAATCCATGGCACTACACGACTTTGCAAGCGAACTCTTTGTGACAGAACCGAACACTTCTGCTCGGTGTAGCGCGAATGGAAGGAAGCATTGAATGACAATGAGGCTAGAAGTCATAATTGCATGACGTCCAGTTGTTCCGCAGTTTGTCGAAGTTTCTCCACAGAATCTCTTGCTTTCAACCTCTCGTGTCTTCCCTAAATGGCCACCCCACGTGCTTGTTTAGCTGCTAAAAAAAAAAACCGCTTAGCATCGCTTCGGTTCACCATCGTCATCGTGTTTTTCACCATGTCACATGGTTGAATTGTATGTGTTCTGAATGTGTGTTCCTCAGGTTGACCCCCTAGTACCAAGATCGATGAATCATGGGAGTTCGACTTCTAGCAGATATATTTCCTACGTCCATCAATAGGAGCGGTTCCTAAAGTATACAAAGAAGATACAGGAGCACTGTGTTTCCATAATCAAAGAAGACAAAAGTAGACTGTGAGCACTGTTATCAGTCAGTGATCTTTTGTTTGCAGCTTCTTGTTTTGCCAGCTCCACACGTTTGTTTGCAATGTGTTCTGTTATTCTTCTCTGGGACTCCACAAACGAACAGTAAACATGACGCGCCCTTGGTGCAACAAAGTTTGCCACCCCCTGACACTTCTAATAGGTTGATGATGCTCTCCTTTGTGGCCATTCTTTTGCTACGGCATGCGGAAGCAGCTGCAAACTGCGCCAAAATGGCCGGCTGCCGAAATCTTGCAGGCAGGGACAAGGGCCGTGGCAAGGGCTCACCGGGCTCGGTGGTGTCCCCGGCAGTCCCAGCTATTCGTTCGAACTCCTTCATGGATTGAACTGGGCTGCCCAGTTGTGGACCCCTGCCCACTGAGCATCCTACCCGGAAATAGAGCGAGGCAAGTCCACGTTAGTGATACAAGTTCAAAGACATACGAGTTTATACCACTTGTTGTAGCCTCAGAACTGAGGCTAGAAACATCGCCGTCGCGATAGCTGAGAAACACTTTGTTTGTTTTTGCTTTCAATACATCTTTATTCTTTCCCTCCTACTGCTGCTTCTGATCGCTGAGGTGGAGATCAAACACGGCCAGTCTTAGACGCTCGGGCAGGGAGACGAAATCGCCGAGACGATGTGAGATTTGCTTTCTTCCCTTTTTGGGTCGCATCCAGAGATGGAGACCGTCGATCCCAGCATCTTTGCTTTTTTTTTTGCGACCCCTTGGTGTTGGAGGCCGCAGATTCTTACGGATGTAGACGAGCTAATTAGATTCATCACCAAAGCTATTGTTTTGTGGTTTTGTGGTTTACAGATGTTGATTGTGCAACCCCACCCGCAAAAAACACAACAAAGATCAAACCAAAGACAAGCAGCTAAGCCTTTGTTTCGGCTCCTGGGCTGGACTGGACCCATATATATAGTTATTTTGAGAAGTCATTGTCCTTTGCCTTTGTGGTACAGCAGAAGCAGATGCTTCATGGTACCTTCTCCCCGATAATTTCCCTAAACACCCTGGTACTACGGGGGGGTATCCCATATGAGATCCCTGAAATCTTGCCATTTTGCCAGGTGTATTGCCAGGTAGGACCTTTGCTCAGAGAAGTTAGCATCGGATTGATCCAAATATCCGCGAAGTGGACTGGACGAATCCGTTGGTCGTCCCTGGAAGAGAGACCGGGAGAAACCCAAAGTCTTGGGTGTTAGATTCGATCTCAGGCGTATACAGTGGATTGAACAAGTGTGCATGTTCAAGCCGCGAATGTTGTCTCATAGGTCCCAATTCTGATTCTCAGACAGATTTGAGATGTAACTCCATGGGGTTGGTCTATAGTTATATAATATAGCAATCAGTTGGGGTGGATATGCCGTCAATGGTGTGTTTGGGAAACTATATTCCGTAGTATTCCGTAAATGGTGGCCAACCCCTCATGAAGAGGTAGAAAACTGTAGACGGAAACACCTTATACCGACAGGGCCTGCAGGATTCTGCTGTTCAACTTCTCTGTCAACCAGACGGCTGTCATGTCATACGGCCCTGGACAAGGTTGGCTAAAAGGTAGTGGGGCAGAATTCTGACAATGCAGGAATGCTACCAAACATGGTAAGGTGCAGGAAAACACCGACGAAAACAGTCTGGGGGGGATCAAAAACGCCCACTTCAAGGGCCTCCTCCACGTCCCAGGAGGGCGAGCAATACTTCACGCAGCCCGATGGGGCTTGCTCCTTTGGCCATGTCGCGGAGGCAAGTCGATCTCGTCCATGGGCTGAAGAAACTCGTGTATATAATTAAATTATCTCAAAACACCATTGGTCGAAGGAGACTATCGGTCATAGACATCTATGATCGATTTCTTCTAGGTTCCCCAGTTTCATCCAGTTTTACTGTTTGTGTTGCCCTCCATAGCCTCTGATAAAGGTACTCAGGATTTGGCAATGGTTCCAAAGGATGATTGTGAGTTTGAAGGTTTTAATTCAGCCCAGGAGCGCCACCATGCCTGTGTGGTGTGCTTTTTTCTACAGAGCTCAGATGGAGGGTTAGCTTGATTTGCATGAGCATTCCAAGAGACGCACTTGTCGAGACCCTGCGCTGCTACCGAACTTGGCAGAATGGTCTTCAATGCAAACCTGGACCATCCTGTGGCTATACGCTCTTCAACTGCATTTGCATTAGCCAGGCACTCAGTACTTTCCCAAGTCGGATGCAACACTTGCATCTATGGCTTCAGTTCGGCAGATGTTGCAGTATGTATACTGTATATTAAGTATTCTTGAACATGCATATTCTTGAATCTCACACATCCACAACACATCCACAGACCGGTTCGGGCTGCATCCCGGAGCCCCAACGAACCCCGTGTTTCTGCGAGGGTGCCCAACTTTGATAGGGTGTATCAACATAGGGAAAAGCCTCCCAGGCAACGAACCCTGGAAGGTTGGGGACCAAGCCATCCTCATTGCCATCCAAAGCCCATTGGTTGGACGGTTCAAGACCTTTTCAAATAATTGCACCTATCCACAGAGTGTGTGTGTGTGTGTCCACCCCTGGACAAAGGGTTTTCCATGCCGTTCCCTCACCATTTTCGACCTGGGAATTGAGTTCACTGAATACAAGTGTCAGTGTGTGTCAGATTGTGTCAGGTGAAGAAGCAGCAAGGGACAACTCCACGGGCGCTCGGAACAGCCGTGCCGTGGCAGCGGACGTTGGCGGTTTTGACGCACGGTCGATGGGTGGTCGATCGGTGGATGGGTTCAACAAGAGAGGCCCCTCCCTTGTGAAGATGGTGCAAGGGTCCTCTCTTTTTTGGGGGGGTGGAAGCATCCACCGTTGCTGAGAGTCCTTTATCATTAACAGAAAAGCAGCGTCCGGGCAGAAGGTGGTCTCAGAACTGGCCACCAAAAGCTGCGGACGGAGCTCTGTACCCAACGTCGGTCGGACATGGGACCGGGGTGAGCCGAGCAACAAGCGTTGGACCGGTTGCCGATCCGATATATATATATATACCTAGAACCGATTTGACCTTTGTTTTGATAGGAAAAGACCTTGTGTTGAGTGGTTGGTGGTCCAACATAGAGGTCCTTTAGGTTCTAGGTATATATATAGGATGATATAGGATGATATAGGTATGTTCTCCCTTGCACTGAATCTCTTCACTTGTGTGACCAACCTCACCTGAGCGTATCAGACCTCACCTTCGTTCATTTGAACTCTTTTCTTTTTTGGAGGGACCGACTCACAGGCAACAGGGCCCAGACTCCTTGGAGACTCTCTGATTTCAACAACTGTATCGACAGGGTGTTTTCAGCTACTGACGTCATACCCCACCGGGATCGCGCACCTGCCACTGGCCGACCATTGGGCGAGGAACAACCGCGGTAGGTCGTGGGGATGAATGTGATGATCCGTGCGATAACAGTATCAACGATGTTCATAATATAGAGGTTTAATCATCCGTCAGAAAGTTACTGGAGATGACATAGGGGTCCAATCATATGTATGTTGCACGGCTCATATGATGTTCTTCCCTTTTGGTTGAAGTGTTGAGACCAGGTGCAATTGTTCTATCCAGTGCAAGTCCGTTGACTTGTTCACCAGATGAAACGAAACAATTGCACGATCCTATAGGCTGTTCGATGCTATCAATTTTACCCCACACATCGGGTGCCAAACGCATGGGTGAAAGGACTAAGTTGACCAAAACCATCCCAGGGCCACAGCCACTGGATGTAGGTCTAGGACCACTCCTTCGAATGAGTTCTTCAGATGGAAGAAAAGCGGATGGGTCTTTAAGCCGCCTGCGCTTTATCACTTGGGACCGAGGCTTTCTCTTCGGCGGCGGTGCCAGTGTACTTGCAATGACCTTTGTGTTTTGCGCCTGGATCTGGAGCCCATGGGACATCCATGCGGGGGCCGACGAACGAGATGATGATATAGGGCTCAACGAGATGATTGACTTGATGAGTGTTCAAAACTTTAGATGTTGGTAGACATATATACATATACATGTTATGATCGTCATGATACGTCATGTTGTATTATTCTTTCTCTACTGGTCCTCATGCCAAGGTCTTTAATTCTTGGAAGGATGTCTCACCGACCACAACTCCTTGTGGTCTTTGGTCTAGTCAATAACGAAACAAACCACCATGGCCGTGGCCGGTGCCGCAAAAAGCACACAGTCTGCCGACCCTCCGCGCTCAGCTCAGCACACTCCGAACTCGTGCCACGAACGTACCGCTTCGCCGGTCGACCGCAGGAGGCGGCGGCCACACCGCAAGATCGTTCCATCGATCGGACTTGGATGGCCACAATCCATAGGCCGAGCTGGAGCGATCCGAAACCGGAACGAACGCTTCGGAGACTGGGTGAAAACTCACTCACTCACTCACCCGGCGAAGAGAGGGCACGAGTGACCGTGGTTGGTTCTTTTTTATTTGGTTTGTGGGAGGGATCAATCAGACAATAATTATAGGGAGATCCATCCTCATGGTGAACCATGTGGGTGTGAAGAGTGGAATAACCTTGTGGCTTGAATAGACGACAGCTTTCGTCTTTGTGACGTGTTTAGATGCAAAAGCGATGTCGAGCTGATTTGTGGATCAACCATGAGAAGGTCAAGTCAGGTCAGTCTGTTGTTTACACGCCGTTTGTCACATCAGTTTGGGGCCAGGACGCCGCTCGTTATTGATTGTAGTGAGGTTTACTGTTTAAATGATACTTTTGCTACTCGCCCCCGGTGCTTAGTCAGTAGCACAGGAAGTGGCAACGTTTCCACTCTAAGATGTTGTCATTGTTGCGCGCTTGAAGCACTTTTGCTGTTTTTTTGCAGATGAGAATCTCTTGGCATTGTTCCTTTGGGTACCAAGTTGAGGGTAGTTTGCCTGAGCCTGTTAGATACCCAACCAACATTGACTAACTGTTTATCTACTCGTACCATTATTACTACTGATCTATTATGCCTTTTTAGTTGTCTATCTACCTATATCTATCTATCTATCTATTTGTCTATCTATTTATCATAGGGGATGGAATTTCCTCTATAGAATCGCGGGGGTTGGGTCCCCGAAAAGACCATTTTTTTAGCCAGGTTTCCTTGGCTCATATGGAGCTTGTAAAGTCCTGTCCTTCAAGAGCCTCGATTTTATAGAGAATTGCAAGTTTGATTCTATAGAGGCTTGTAAGTATAGTGAAGGGATTTTGGATGACTGGGGCATACCGATTCTATAGAGAATGATTTCTATGATTTTGGATGTCGTGACCCGCAATTCTATAGAGATTGCTTTTTCTTGGCTTGATTCCAATTGGAATTGCTCAAAAGAACCCTGGGGAATGGGTTCTTGAATGAATCAGGCTTGGGATGACTTGGGAAAGGGGAGAAGTGGATGATTTGGGGACAGCATTTGGACACATCTGGACACTATAAAATCAGAGATCATCACAGATCCATACCTCTCCAATCCTCTCCATAACACCTGCTGTCTTCTCTATAGAATTGTGGTCCTACCAACTGGCAAATCAATACCTTCCATTGAAATTGGATTTTTTTGTTTTGTTGAGACCCATGGCCCTTGATTCTATACAGAAACAGGTTTTTTGAGACCCATGGCCCTTGACTCTACAGAGAACCAGGTTCAGATTACAACTCGACAACACCTGTTCGGGAGTACCTTGGGGCCCGCAATTTTATAGACAAAAACCCTTAATATTCACAACTTTCAACAGCTTTTGACAGACTAATGGCCCTCAATTCTATAGAGCTAAATCTTTGTACTTGGGCTCTTTTCCTATGTTCTCCTCAATTTTATAGGGCCAAAAAGTGACCCTCATTGGAGGGGGGTTGGTCCCAGCATTTTAGCACTATAAAATCGCACCCCCCAAGGTACCCACTTAATACCAACCCCTATTATTTATCTATCTATCTGTCTATCTATCTACCTATCACTAGCTATCTATATACCTACCTATTTACCTATCTATCTATCTATCTATCTATATCTATCTATATCTATCTATCTATATCTATCTATATCTATCTATCTCTATCTATCTCTATCTATCTATATCTATATCTATATCTATATCTATATCTATATCTATCTATCTATCTACCGATCGATCCATCCATCCATCCATCCATCCATCCATCCCATCCATTCCATTCCAATCCATCCATCCATCTATCCATCTACCTATCTACCTATCTACACTATCTATCTATTTCTATATTTATATATGTTTATCTGTTTATCTCTCACAAAGCCTTCCCTTATAAGAACTGTAAATATCTATTTGGTGATTTGGAATTGACTGTCTCCCATGCGAAGGGAAGAACCTGTGTCACATGGTTGTTGGGACACAAGGCGTGAAAGACCATCCAATCCTTGATGCTCTCACCAGGCCAAAAGGATGCAAAAAGGAACAAAGGACGATGGATCATGATGGATCCTCCCTGAATTTCCTGCAATATCCACCAAATAAATTGAATCCCATTGGTTGGTCATCTTGCCCAAGGGCACTGGTCGCACAGCTTTTGCACGTTGCTAAATTGCAACGTTTGAAGTTTGAAATAATTCAGATTTGAAGCTAAATGTGTGCAAGAAATCTTTTCGAACAACGCATTAACAGGTTGATTCCAAGTTGCAGCACAATCTTACGGACTGTTTTTCGTGCGTTTAACAAAATGTCCTTGACTAGTGCAGAAAGACACCGTTGCTCGACATGCTTTTTGGACTCTCCAGCTTTTCCCACTCCAGGTCAGCCGCAGAGTCGTTTCACCGGCGTTTGTGTGGAGCAGGGGCCGGTCATTGCGGAAGAGGTGCCAAATGCGAAGATCGCGAAATGGGCCTCTTGGATTTGAGCAGCATCCATGCATTTGGTGCGGAAGTTCTGAACACAGGAATCTGACGCAAGTGTGTTTGGTTTAGCAAAAATTGCACACAGTCTGGAATGACTCATTCCAGACTGTGTGCAATTAGTCCAACTCCACACAAACACAACAGTCCTTTTCCACCAGTAGCCCACATGCCTCCTTCTCCGAAACCGTTGCATCAGCGGCAGCGTGTGGTTGAAGACCTTATATACAATGTGGTTTGCGCGCGCGCATCGCCCTTCCACTTCCACTTCTCCACTTCCTGCTGCTGCTGCTCCTGGGTTGCTTCTGCCTTCGAGTCTTCTTCTTCGTCCTCATCCTCAAGTGCTTCTTCAGCATCCATATCCGAAGATTAGGTGTAGTAAATGTCCATTGTACAAAGTATGCAGAGCGTAAGCTCGCGTTGTGGTGTCAGCTGCATTTTGTGCAAAACAGGCGTCGCGTAAGGTCTGCGTAAGCCCTTCTTGCTCCAATTGTACCGCGTAAGCAAACATGTGAGTCGCGTAAGGCAGCGTAAGCACAAGCGTAAGCCCAATGATACGACATGAGATTTCATCAAGGTTTTCAGAAACGCTCAGTTGATTCCTGAGGACTGTCTCAGCATCGCATTCATCGTGTTTCTGCCGGGCACCCTTGTGGTGGCAGGCCGCACTGGGGAGCCGATTTCGGCGTGTTCCAACCGCGTGCGGGTCACGTGTTCCCAGTGAGAGACTCGTCGAGAGACTTGTCGAGAGACTTGTTCGCATGGGGTGAGCAACTCAAAGGAAGAATTCGACATACCCTACCACAATCACGACCAATCAGATTGTGACACGGGTTCTTTGCTGCATTTCTCCGCGTGTGGCGTGTGCGTTGGTGAATGTCCATGTCATGTCTTTTGCGAGGCATTGCGATCTTTATCTCTGGCTTGTCTATCCATGTTGGAGAGTGGCTTGGTTCAGAATGGCACCGCCCCTGTTTATGCGGATGACCGTGAGAAGGATACCAAAACCGGATGTTCTTACATCCTGCGCTACGTATGTTATAATTACGCAGTCACGTGGTGACTTCTTGCAACTTGGGATCATCCCTGCAGTAAGGACCCTAGCAATCTGAGAAAAGACCTCGGCTGCGCAGAGTCTACTGTGAACCCTCATCCAGGTGAGTGGACATAGCTTTGCTCATGTCGTCAATGCCCAGGTCACTCCATGGTGAACAACAGGTTGTTCGTACTGCCACGTCATGGCCTGCCACGTCATGGAACAATTGTTTAGATCCGATGCGGCAGGGACCCCGCGTAGCAGCCGAGATACAGGGACCCAGCGTGGCATCCAACAGCGTTCGAGTTCAGCAAATCACTTGATTTAATTTTTTGCACAGTCTCCTTCAGGCTGAATACTTCCCTACGGATCAATGACTCCTTTTTACATCTTTTTACTGCGTCGCATTTTCCACGAAAATTGCAAGAAAATGTGACTATCAAACACATTCAAAATCTTTTGTTACTCGAAAGTTTTTGTCGTATATTCCAAAGAGGTCTATCCCTATTTGAAGGCAAAAGGCAAAAGAGCGGGGTGGTACCTACAACCCCCCCATGCATTTGAAGGAGCCTTGCTAATTCGGACCTAAATTAGTGAGCAGGTGCCAGTCTACACGTTCACCCCTTTACCGTGACTCTAGCGTGACTGTAGCGTGACTCTACCGTGACTCTAGCGTGACTCCCCCCTTGCTCGAAGTTTTGTTTAACAAAACTTTAAATAAACAAGTTTTGTATTAAAAAACTGTGACTCTACCGTGACTCTAGCGTGACTGTAGCGTGACTCTACCGTGACTCTAGCATGACTCCCCCCTTGCTCGAAGCTTTGTTTAGCAAAAACTTTAAAGAAACAAGTTTTGTATATAAAAAAACTGTGACTCTAGCCCTGCAATGCACATGTGTGTTTCCAGGGATCGTCAACTCTGGAGGGCAGCATACTCAGCGATATGCGGTTAAAATTGCACGCGTGAAGCTTGCGATTGACAAGAAGAGATTGGCACGTGTGGATGTTTACAACGCATGGTGCAGGTAAAAAGGCGCTATTGAACTTGTTTTTTGTTGAAACATGTGCTGCCAGGACTTAATTAAGACATATATCTATAAACTTTTAACACTTTTTAACGAAACTGTCTTGACAAAGTTTTTGAGCGACAAATAAAATATGATGCCGTTAAACTGCGTCGCATTTCGTACATCCAAGGAAAACTGCGTCGTTGGATGTGTAGGGCTTGATACGTCATGGTCATAGAGACATGTCGCAGTGTTGTTGCATCATGTTGTTTCACAGACTGAGACTCTGCAAGTATGGTACTGTAGGTGCTTGCACCAGAGCTGCAACCCATGTGAACAGCTCTTGGGTGAGCATCTTTGGGGGTGTGAGTCGTGAGTGCCTCATGATGTAGATAATTACTTTGGATGCAGTTCACCCCGGTTCTCAGGTATTACAACGGATGCCGCATATGAGATGATTTCTCCACCTGAGGCCTGACTGCAGCTTATTCACCAGGGTTGCCACACCTTGCTAAGCCCGACTGTAACTGTAGGTGATTTCTGCCACGTCTCCACAAATTAGAGTCCGGTTCATCATCAACTTGTTTAAAGTTAGCCTCAGTTCAACGGAATAAACCTGATGTATCAAGTGGTCCCGTGGGGTTTGACATGCGGTCTCATGGCGGGGTCCCGCGTGTTTGGAACACACCGTGAACATCCTGGAACCACGTCCTGGTCCGAGACTTCATCTTTTTTTCAGACCTGCCAAAGTAGTTCTGTGTGGAAACAGCTCAGTGCCGCTTGAGCACGGACGGTCCAAAAACGATGGGGTGATGGGGTGATATCCCAGAGAAACAATCCTATTTCACAACTGAAAGTCAAGTGAATTTGCTACCACTTCTCATGTATATAACCAATGTACGTATATATACATATATAAATATTATTGTATATATTATATTATATATTTATGTTATACTATATTATAATATGTATATTAAAGACATTAAAAGACACTGGATACAATTTAATGGCTCTTATCCAAAGTTTCACAGGAAAAACGTGTTACAGAGTTTTCCATGGATTTTGGGAGGGTCAATCCTTGCTAAGCTTTCTGGAGTCAGGTTGAGCTTGCTCGCTCGCTGCGTTTGATGCTGCGTGGTGCGTGGTGCGGCGCGCCCAGCGGCGCCCGAAATCAATTGTTTAAATTCAACGCCATGTCCAAGCTCTTGAAATCGGTGCTCCGTTTTCGACCGTTTCAGCATAGTGTGTTTTTTTGCTTGCACTTGTTTTAATGGGCAGAATCCACATCTTAGTTGAACCGGAGACCACGCAGGAACCAATTTGCAAAAGCACTGCAAGGTGCAAAAACTCGAGATGTGCAGGTAAAGAGTACACACTGGGAAGACTCTGGTGAAAGTATCCGGAAGTTGAGAGGCAATTCACACCTAGGACCTAGAGCTCAGCACTAATTACGGGCTTTGAGTACTTGCGTTGGATCTTGAGATGCTTCACACGAGAGCTTGAGCCGCTTGAGCCATGATGTTCCAAACAGGCGGAATGGCTCTGGAAGTTTCACGATTTACATTCGTCACTGTAGCTCGTTGTGTTTCTCTTCACGCGGGAAATCGGGCTCATAAGGTCGGATCACCGAACGGATGAACCAAATTGGTTTAGAAGCTGAAGAGGGGGAAAACGGTGGAGCGGGAGTGATCCCACCTGTGGGCCGGACCGATCCGCCGTTTTCGACGCCGGTCGGTCGACCAGCCACGTGGGCGCGGGACCGATCCGGGCGTTTTCGGACGCACCCGACGCGTCGAACCCAGATGAAGGTTCATCAAAAGGTGTGTCAAGCCACGGGCCGCGGTGCGACATATGCCTCTTCTGCCGGCTTTCGAAAGGTATCCTGTCCCAGATCATCCATGCGACTGGAACAGCTACAGGCATTTACGCTAATCCATGTTAATCCCATATATATATATATTTAGTACCCTGAATTATCCTTAATTATCCTTAATTATATTTTGACTCTTCCATTCCCATGGATCGTTTGAGAGTTGTTGTCTTCTTGTCTTCAGTGCCAAATGCCGCACGTCCACCACTCGTGGGCCCATCTGGGCACGTCCATCTGGTCAGCCTTTTTACCGCGCTCAGCCGGGTTTTCGTCCACCCGGTGCTCAGAGCCGTTCCAAAGAGCCATAGAAGCGCCCGGTGCCCAGAGCCATAGGCCATAGGAGCTCGATATCCACGGGTTTGTTCCACGTAGAAGAACCATAGAACCTCACGGGTTTCGCGGTGCTCAAGTCGTTGGAGTGGACAATCGCTGCTCTTCGGATACAAATGAAAAAGCTTCGATCGATAGCAGAATAGTAGCCATTATGTACAGTATATCAGATGATATATTCCTTCCTCCATGATACGCCTTCTGTTTGACTTTATTCCTGCATCCCTGCTAGTATTATACTTGGTATACATTGAGCGTTTTCACAACTGCTTGTGGAGGTACCAATCAAAACCCTAGGAAATCCATGGAAATCCGTAACTCCACAAAAATCAATAAATTGAACAATATTAACATTTACCTCTTTGAGCAGCCCCATGCTCTCCAGGTTTCGAGCACCAGCCCACTCTGATCCTAAAGCACCAGCTGCCGTCCGCCGCGGGAGACAGCGACATCCAGCTCTCCCGTCCGATGACCAGGTACTGAAGACCTTTCCTTGGCCAAGTCAAGAGGACAGACCTAAAACCGGGCCAAAAGATGCGCTTTTTGATGCGACGACCGTGAATGATTGCCAGGTCATGCCAGGTCGAAAAAAAACAGTTTCGTTGGCCAAGAGGATGTAGAAGAATGCAGTTGAGACCCACAATAAACAGTGCAGTTGTGCTAGTTTTCTCCGTGCATGTTGTACTGTTGTGTTCTCCGTGCATGTAGGAGATCACGGTACGGAAAGGCAAGCTTCGGGCGATTGCACCGGGACCCAGGTTGGAACGAAAAGAGTGTTGGAGCCAAAGGAACTGAACATGGATCAGTTGGAATTCTGCTCTTTCTATGTTTTTTCACCAACAATCCATGTATTAAGGCATTAAGCGGCATGTTCACATATGTTCACCTATATAGATTGTTTATTTTCTTTCGTGGTAAATGTATACATATTCCATACAGACGTGGAGTGTTTGGGTATATTTGAGGACTACTTCATGATGTTCAGGTCGATGAGTCATTCGTGTTTCGGTGTGACATGTATGGGTGTTTGTATGTTCTTGTCCAGTTCTTCTGGCCATTGTTCCAATCATAGGAGGATCCAAGCCTAGTAAAATAGGATCACTGGAGGGTCAAGTTAGTCACCCTTAGGTCGTGGCCAAGCTCAAATTTGTCCATGGCTTGAGAACTTCAGGAGATTTGAGGAATTGAGGCGATTGAGGTTGCAGAAGCCCTGGAAGAAAGAGAGCATGATCCTCCAAACTTCCCCAGAGTGAGATATTTTCATGTCACCACATACTCTATCATACTCTCCTCATACTCCTACCCCAAAACGGTGGTCATACTCCTACTTGCAAACGGTGCATCTTTCAGGTCGACCGGAGCCGTCGAACGGTTCGAACGTGCTTCGCCGGACCCGAGGTGGCCCGACTCTTTGCCGCCGGGGCCGAGAAGAACTCCGGGGATGTGGAAAAGCTCATCAAGGACCACGAGCGACACGGAGCGAGCTCAGCGCGCGTCGGCGCCCGGTGAAAGCGGTTGAAGCGCGGTTGACCAATGTACGGACAGACGAGCTAGACGCAGCGAGCTACGCGAAGGTGGAGGATGGTAAGCTCCAAGTGCGAACGGAGACCAGGTTTTTGAAGTCGAGTCGAAGAGCCCTTAGTTTTTGAGGACAACGATTGGTGTGACTCGAAAAGGATGCGTGATCAGAAGTTGGCTTAAAACCAGCGGGTATGGTTCAGTCTTCAATATCTACATTATATATATTTGGCACCATCCTTTCAGCACCCTCTTTTCAAGTGCATGGAACATTCAGCCCTTGAGACAACAAGGCTCCAGGATACTGAAAGCCTACCCCTTTTCTGATGTGAAAAGAAGGGGCATGGGATATCACATGGACATGGATCTGTCACTCCACTAGGAAGATGATGAGCTTCGAAAGGCCGTGTTGCCCGGAGCCTAAGATTGGTTGTGGAGACGGTGCAGACGGTGTGGAGTGCTGGCCAGAATCATCGCAGGAGATGGAGGGCTGGGGTGAAGCCCACGAGATGTCGTTTTAACATGGTTGGACAGTAAACTTAAGCACCAAAAGAAACAACATGTGTTTGAAGGGATTTTGACCAACGACTTGCAGCCACCCCTTGATGTTTGTCAAAAAATCCTAAGGAATTCAGTCAACAAAGTCCATCCGAACGACTGATGCTTGAGGCTCACATGAGGCTCACATGAACACATCAGTCAGATTGTTCTCACCCAAATCCATGCACCACCTCGCTCAGCACGCGCTGAACGCACGCACTCGTTGTCAGGGTCTCTCTCACGGAGGAACGAGAGGCGGGGCGCAAACCGGGCGAACAAACCCCGGGCGACCGGAGATGGAGGCCCGTTATGTTGTTTAAACATGTGTCCAGGCTATGTCGAGTTGACCAGATGATCTCAGATGATCAAGATCGCTTTGGGGCATTGGCGTGGAATGGTGAACCTCACCAACATCAAGAAACCACCAAAAAGGTGAAACCCTCTCTGGGGCGTCACCGCCATGCTTTCGGGGTCTCCTCCTTGTGCTCGCTTTCTCATTTCGCCGTCCATTTCGCGCGCCCCGTTCGGCGTCGCTTTCGCGGCGTTGCGGTGGGGAGGACGCCGTGGAAAAGCCGGGAGCCGAGCGAATTCTCGGGGCCTAAGGGCTGGGATAGATGGGATGGATAGATGGAAGCTGTGGAGATCCACATGTGAACTGTGGTCCATAGGGATCATAGGTCCACCTTCTGTCAATCCCTATTCGCAGACACCCATGTCCTTTTTGCGTGTGAACTATGAACTTATATGATATCAATCAGGATAATTACAGTATACCATTGATCATGTGATTTGTTTTGTCCCCTAACAGAGCGCTGCTTCGTCTCGTAATTCGATCTGTTCAGATTGTTTGGTGAAAAGAGGCTGTGATTTACTGGCAAGCAGATAAGCCCCTCTAGATCCATCTTGGTATCAAACTCCACGTCTACAGCTGAGGCATTCGCTGAATTCGTACCTAGGAGTCTCCACCAGAGGTACAGTAGTGCTCTTAGGCATTTCCCTGCACTGCACGAAGAAGGGAAATGGTCCGGAGTTGTTTACTAACTGTTGGGAGAAGGATGGCTGTTTCCGAAAGCAATTCAACAGGAAAAAGAACACATACCTCAACACTTCGATTACGGTTCACTCAGAGAACGGGCTGAGACGTTCGGCCATTCGAATGGCTCGTCGACTCTGCAGGGCTTCCTTTGCGAAACTGACTCAGGTGGGCCACTGACCTGCAGGCGCAGCTCGCTTCACGACAGGCGCCGCGAGCCGCGGGTCGGAGCCGCGGACGACCCGGGTGAGAGTTGAGGGGTGAGGGGTGTGAGCCCCCAAGAGGTCTTTGAGAATTATAGGGGTCCAGAAGTGGGTCCATCTCAACCACCAACCTTGGGGTAGCTTGTGCCATCTACACGGAAACCACAATATATGGCCAGGTGGAGTGGTGTAGGATGAGTGGTTCTGTCCTCTCCAGCACAATGAGTGCGAACCCGTTCGTTTTCCACGACGGAGCATATATTGATCCGATACGCCTTGGAGGTGCCGAAGCTCAGACTGCTCCAGGTCGATAAGGAAGCCGCTGAAGCAGAGCTTAAGAAAAAGGAGGAGGCCGTTCAGGCTGGACCCCCCCGCCCTATGTTGATCCTTCAGCGACCCGTCCAGTGGACGCTTGTGGAGGGCGACTGCAGGCCGTTCTGACGAAGGCATCGTTCTTTTTGGCATCGGAGAATCGAAGAATCAACGGCAGAAATGCTTCGATGATTGTATCGATGCAGGATTCCGGATGGGCACGAAGAAGCGAGGTGAACCCTGCCGCATCACCGGCCCGTGGGCCATTTTCCCTGGCAGTTTCATAGATGGATCCCATAAGAGATGCATGTTCCATGGATTACTTGTTATTTCCATAGATCTTTTTGAGGCATCATCTTCAACCACCTGAGACTCGGCTCCCTTTTGGGCGACGTCTTCGGTTTCCTCTCCATGGTGGTCTTCTCTCTT